TTTATTTCCATCAATTGGAATGCTGGAGGAGGAGGAGCATTTGCCGTAATTCCACATAAGAATGTTGGTGGGTCATTTGATGCCGAGAAAAAGGAATTGGTTTTCTAATGTTAGTTCTCAGTTGATTTTGATCATTTTATACTTTAGGCAAAATCGGTGATTCCATACCACTTTACCGTGCTCACACCGCCCCAGTCTTGGATACAGATTTTGCAAATTTCAATGATTACGTTATTGCTTCTTGCAGTGAAGATACCAAAGTAATGATTTGGACTGTTCCGGAAGAGCTTGGTGAGCCCGAGTCTCCAGATATTGAACCAATTGTTAAATTGAATGGTCACGGGCGGTAATAAAGAGATACACAGTTCATTCGTGCACGAGTGGTGTCCGTTTTAATTTTACTTTTTACTGATTCGTTAATACAGAAAAGTTGGACATGTTTTATTTCACCCTGTTGCTGATAATGTTCTTGCATCTTCATCTGCCGACCTCACCATAAAATTATGGGATATCGAAAAGGGTCAAGAAAAACAACAGCTTAGTGATTTCTTGGATTTCATACAGTCGATGTCCTGGAATTATAATGGTAGTTTATTGGCTACAACATGTCGCGACAAGAAACTTAGGATTTTTGATGTTCGTTCCAATAAGGTTGTTCAGGAAGCCGCGAGTCATCAAGGTGTGAAGGGATCGAGGGCTGTTTGGTTGGGTGACTCTGACCGTCTCGTGACAACCGGGTTCTCAAAGATGAGCGACCGACAAGTATTTCTATGGAATACGACCGATTTGGATAAACCAATAAAAAATATAATGTTGGATACTTCATCTGGTGTTATTATGCCGTTCTACGATGATGATACCAAGATACTGTATTTGGCTGGAAAGGTTAGTGCATTGAAAGCATATATCTGAACATCATGATTTCATTTCATTCAATGTTTCGATACATCCGGTTGGAATTTTACCGCTTCCATGTAGGGGTATGTATTTTTCGGGAGGGGGGAATTAGTTCAGTAAATGAATGAATACCATCAACTCTGTATATATGCATTCTTCATTCATATTTTGTTGTGTTACATAGAGATGGAAACATTCGTTACTACGAATTCGAAAATGACGAGTTGCACTTCTTATCCGAGTACAAATCATCCGAACCTCAACGTGGAATGTCATTTATGCCTAAACGCGCTTTGAACGTTAGTGAATGTGAGATCTCCAGGGCTTATAAAGTGTCTAGCAATTCAGTTGAACCAATTTCATTTGTTGTTCCACGAAGGGTAAGTCAACATTTTATTTTATTTTTTTTGAATCCATAATCTATTTACAATGATAATTATCTCTTTCTAGTCCGACGCTTTTCAAGCTGACTTGTTCCCCCCAACTTTGAGCGATGTGCCTGCTTTAACTGCGGACGAATTTTTTGGAGGAAAAAATGCCAAACCAAATACAATAAGCCTGGAGAACGGATTCCAAGCTAAAGAGAAGAAGGAATTCGTGAGCAGCGCACCAAAAGAAGAAGAAAAGGAGGTCCAGTTACCAAAGACAGAGAAAGATGTGTGTTTGCTTTTTTTTTTTCAAAAAAAACATTTGTCATGTACTAACTTTGTTACATTGTCACCAGTATCAAGATGCATACCATCAACTTCGTCAGGAGAATGATGACTTGCGAAACCAATTAGCACAACG